TTCCGGGTCAAACCGGATATTTTTCATCCGGTTTATAATCCGGATGAAAACCGTGAAAATCCGGATATCCGAAAAAAAAAAAAATCCGGATCAATCCGGATTGATCCGGATACGGGTCGAGGCACTAACGTAACGTAACGTAACGTAATGTAACGATTAGCATCCCTAAGATTATGACAGATTCCAATTCCGGTATATCAAGACTTATGCTCCGTTATATCAAGGTTCCGGTATATCGAATTTCGTACAAGAAATTCTAGTTTAATATCAAGGATTCTGTGGGAAACATTCCTAAACCTGATAAGAGATAAGCAGAGCAGATCATATTAAAATAACGATTTTTTATAATAAGGTCGACTAACAGTCTTATTTTTTTATTATTGTGTTTTTAATTTCATTAAAATTTAAATCGTCAAAAGTAAAATATAAGAGAAAAAAGTTCAAACCCTACTTCAACTATTATTAATTTGATATACTTCATATTCTTCCACCAAAAATTTCTCAATAGTTCCTCCAATATAATATTCATAAGTCCAGCTCAAACTATCACAACTACAATGATCTCCGAGTAAATCAAGGTCACCATCACCAAACGATGGTCCATAATCACAATGATTATATGTGGCATGTTGCTCATCTTTTACGCGACCTAAAATATAACATTCAATATTATCAGGTTTCTTAAAAGAGAATATAAAACTATCGCAAGTAATACCGTAAGAGTTATCAGATTTCCATTCAATTGGATTATATCCACCAAGAATTTCTTTACTACCTTTCACTTTAATAATTGTTACAGTACGAGATTGATTATCACAGATTTCATGAAATTTTTTAGATATAAATCCATCACGAGAACCACGAAGTAACAATTTGAACTCGTACATATTTCTTATATCATCTGTAATTTCTAATTTATCGATCCATTTTGAGATTAATTCAGCATGTTGAGATGTAATGATTTCGGAATCGATATTAAATTCTTTAGTAGCCATACGAGGTTTTGATTCTCTAATTGATTGGTTATTAGGATTCATAAAATATTTTAGTAGATCTTCATATAATAAATCCTTTGGTAAAATTTTTCTATAAGGTAATACTTTATTAGAAAATTCTTCAGAAGATAAATTATGAAATCTGATAAATGGAATACATTGACGCATAATATTCTTTAAAGTTTTGAAATCTTCTTTTGAAAAATTTGTAGGATCAGAAGGAAGCTCTGGGCTTTGAGCAAGTCCCCAATTAAGCGCATGTTCCCATACTTGAATTTCGCTCATTTGAAGATTATCACTTTGAATGAGTGAGACCAAAAGTTTTTCCGGAATTGAAGAGAAACTTGGAGATTTAAATATCTTATTTGGCTTTTTGTTTATTAAATTAGTACAAAATTTTTGAAGTTCCAAAAAAGAATCGTCCTTAAAGCTTGTTTGATATATTAAATTAAAATTTTGTTCCATCCAACTTGCCTTAGTTTTTATCAAAAAGGATTGTAAATAAGTGATTAATTCTTGAAGACCAAGCTCACTTCCAGCAACCAAGATTTTAATTATATCTGAAGTATCATAATCCTCTAAAGTAATTCTTCCACTATAAATATATCTAAAATAGTAAAAACGTAAATTTAAATTAATTTATTATACAAATATTTTTGTATTTAAATTTTAATTCATTCCTTTTTTCTTACCTTAAGATTATTTGAAAAATTTCAGGTAAAATATTTTGTAATTTTATATGAAACAACGTTCCATCATTTTTCCTTTTATTAGTTGATAAAATTCTTCGTAAGCAAGTAGAACGATAATGTAAGATAACCATATGAGCACGAAATATCTTTATATAAGGGTCATTTCCAACTTCAATAGTAACATCATAATATTCTTCATCATTTAAAATTTCAATTAAATTTTGTGATAATTTTGGTAAGAGATTATTATCATCCATGTTTTGTAAATTTAAAAAAAGAAAAAAGAAAATTTTGTGAACGTTGTGAACGGACTAACTTATATAATTGCTGCAGATCCATGTAACATTGTAACATTACATCTTTACTAAAAAGATAGTTTGTGACTTTGTGTCACATGAATGTGATTGTCGATATACAAAAGGATACATCAACGTTATCGGATATATTGGATATATCTTTGAATTTCGGAACGAGTAAAGAATTCTAGACATGTTGATACAAAATGTCCGCTGACCGCCTGAGTCGATAGATTTCATTGTACAATAATCAATAAATTACGTTCGATCTTTATGCTCCAGACTTAACAACGGTTTCTATTCCTTAGTTTATTCTAATATTTATGATTTGATCATTGAATAAATATAAATTGCTAAATTTCTTTTCATTATGGCCATTTTTTATATCACCGGACCAAAAACCGGTTATATAATTATATTATCTCCATAGCACGTGACTATAAATAAGTTCGGTTTTCAACCGAATAACCGGTTATATTTTCGGTTAAACCCGGTTTCATATATTGAATTTATAACCGGTTCCAACCTCTATCGTGGAATTGTGTGATAATATCGGGATCAACACTTTGACAATGAGATTTAGATTTCTACGCCGAATTGATGATCGGCATCATTGAAATGCGTTAAATTGACAAATCAGAACATCAGATCTTGAATTGAAATTGGGCGTATTTTTGTTTTATAATTAGTTTTAGTAATTAATCTAACCATAATTTCCAATTTGGAAGGAAAAAAGAATATGATGTAACATTTTTAAATAAATAATTATATATTGTTGGAAATGGATAATAATTTCCATTTTTGGTTATGACTATTACGGTAATTATATTTATGACGGAAAATAAATGATTATTAAAAAAAAAAAAAAAAAAAAAAAAAAAAAGAAAAAAAAATGATTATTAATAATAAAATGTCATTTCCCATTTCCGGTACGGTGGAATGGTAATTTAATAAATTTATAATAGTTTACGCATTTATTTTTGTGAATTTTAGTAAATTACTGTTATATTATCCTCTTATATTCATTACTTTATACTAAATACAGTTCCTTACTAATAACTTTGTAATAATAATATGCTCATAAAATTAAAACTATGTAGACTTATATAGGAAATTATTCAAAATTGTTTTCTCGAGACTTATTTAATTATATATGTTTAATTGACAGGGACCACATTATTGAAATAGTTAGTAAAATATTTTTGGCTTCATGTTTAAAACAGAAAGCAAATACATATGTATTTATACCAACAATACTGCGGTCTTTCCTATCTTATAAATAAATTACCTACATGAATACATTTAAACCCGATTTCATAGAAAACCTGTCTCTTTCTTTCCATAAAAAAAAAAAATTACACATACGTCGTAACTCGTAGGCTATTAAATTAATAAACTTCTTTGTGCGTAAAATAATCGATAACCGTGAGAATGATTTGCCGCTGCAGGCGCAGAAGGATTTCATCGGCTGCAGATCTTGAATTATTTGTAACGCAAAATGTTCATTTTGAATTTAAAATAAGGGGTAATTTTTCCATTTATATTATTAATATGAAATTTTTTTTTTTTTTCTCAAAAAATCAAATACAACATTTTTACTTCTGTAATATTTTTTAATTATATCATAAAATATGAAGCTTGATAAAGATGTACTTTTCCTTATATTTGAAGAATTAAAAAATGATAAGAAATTCCTTCATTCATGTCTTTTAGTTAATAGAAGTTGGTGTGTAACTGCGGTACCTATTTTATGGAGAGATCCTGGGGAATATTTTAGAACCATTAATTCTAATTATACAAAGAAAATTATTAAATTATTTAATGTAATACTTTTACATTTATCAGAAGAGTCAAGAAATATTTTAAAGATTCAAGGAATTAATAGTTCTATTACAGAAAAATATCAACATCCTTTATTTAATTATATTAGTTTCTGGAAACATTTAAATTTACTTTTCTTAGATACGGTACTTTTTTCAAAATCTAACTTGAACGCTAAAGACATGTTATTAAAATTATTTATTAATAAAAACACAAATTTTATTCATCTTTCTATTCCACAAAATTTGGATTATGAATTACTTCATATTTCAGGAATTGAAAAATGTTTTTCAGAACTTGAATCCTTTCATTGTAATGATGTTACTGATCCACATGTTTTAATGGGATTGGCAGGTATATGCAAATCAATTAAGAAATTAATATTTGATAATTGGTATCACTTTCCTGATAATTATGGTATTATCAAATTAATTGAAGTACAGAAAAAATTGTATGATATTAGTTTCATCTATCCTAGAAGATCAGTAAGAAATGATTCATTCAACAAGACTCTTGAAAAATCATTAATTAAACATGTGGATACTATTCAATATTTAAGATTGGATTGGAAACCTATTACAAACATTCTTTCATACCTTGTTAATTTATTAAGTTTAGAAATCAATATACTTCATTTTATAAAATCTGATGAAGCAAATCATATGGAAAATTTATCATTACCTAATTTAAGAATTTTAACAACTCAACGAGTTCCTTCTAAAATTTTGGTAAATTTAATTGATAATACAATAGGAAATCTTAGTGAAATTAGCGTATTTTGTGATGGTACTAATAACAAAGAACTTATGCAATCTATCAGTAAAAATTGTCCAAATCTTAGATATCTTAAATTATCATTACTTACCAATCTTAATATACTTATTTCAGAACTTGAGAATTTATTAACAAATTGTCAACTTTTAAATGGATTAATTATAGATTTATATGATACTGATACTTTTAGTATATTTAATTGGGATAAATTATTTAAGATATTAAATAAATCATCCCCAATTTGTTTATATAAATTTAAATTTTCTTCTATTAAAGTAATCAGATTAGATCATTTAGAATTATTTTTTGATAATTGGAAAGATAGAAATTCTATGTTATTAAAAATAAGCAATAATTATTATTCTTCAGGTTTAGAAGCAAAACAGAAATTGAATGATTTATATGAAAAATATAAAGCAAAAGGGGTAATTAATAAGTATTTTACTGGTACTAGTAGAAATATTAATGAAGATTTTGAATGGATTTAAGTTTTTATTTAGGTTACAACATATTTATTATATCTTGATAACAAAATTTTATTTAAGTTATTATATTATATATATTATACCTTTTTTTTATTTGACACATTTATTTTTTTTTAAATAAAATTTATATATAAATAGTTTGTATTCCTCATGTTACATATATAATTGTGAACAAATAAATTATTTTTATTCTTGTAATTAAGAGTTGCCAAAGAATCTACAGAGTAATAATCAAAAGGTGAAATCTGGTTATTGGATCGAGAAATGAATAATCGTGATCGTCGTATCGAGAAATGAATAATGCAATCGTTATTGTCAAATTGCAAACAATTGTTAAGCGTGTGTTGGTATCATATTCAAACCCGCCGTCTCAAAACCGAAAAGTCTGGACGATTATAAAATATTTTAACTTTTCCTATCATATTTTTCTTATGTCTTATATTAATTTTACAAACTACATAAATAAAATAACTATTAACAATATTCAATTTATAAGTAATTAATACCCAAAAAAATTCCATAACTTTATAAAACCCATCAATTTCTTTATAAAATTCAATTATTCTACAAACAAACATTTTTATAATACTAATAGTACAAAATGGAATAAATACAATAAATATTAATATAAAAATAAATGGAATAAACATTTTATATAATAATAATAAAATAAAATAGAAATATTTTTTATAAAATGAATCAAATACATAATAATTTTCATATAAAAAAAAGTATGGTATGGTTATATAATAATATGTTATATATATGTTGCTTTATAAAAAATAAATATTATAATATATGGTATAATTATAATAGAAATTATTAAGAAGACAGAAAAATCTAAAATTTGAATTAAAATAAAAAATGTTGATTCGCAATTATATGATTTGAATTGTTTGATTTTTTCAAGAAATTCGGAAGAATTGAATTACAACATTTTTTAATAAAATATATTATTTCTTTTGTGTTTTCTAATATTAAATTATCCGTCAAGAATTCGTAATCATAATTACATATACATTTATAAATAGCTGCCGTTAAAGAAAGTGAATAAAGTGAGTAATCAGGTCTTGGTATGATTATCATTAGTGGTTTGATTAATGAAAGAAATATTCCATACCCAACAAAACATATTATAATAATTGGAACGTACAAAATAATAATTATAGGTGAAATTAAAAGCAAATAAATTCTTGTTTTCAAATTATATTCCTTTATTGTGAAAATGAATGAATATAATTGATAAATTGAAGGAAAAAACCAAACTAATGTAATTATAAAATTTATTATCAAACTTAATACATATATGGGTGTCAAATATATGAAATCAAGAAGGTTTAGAAATATGAGAATTACGAAAATAATAGATCGAACCCATTTTTTTTTAAAAAAAAAAGAAAGAAAGAAAGAAATAAATAAATAAACAAATTTGAATCACAATGGAATCGGTTTTTACATTATCATTTATATGCATTATTGCGTCATAACATTTATAGTCACCCAACAATAAAGTCTCCTGTTGGGTAAGGTGATTGAAGTGCGTGGAATGGTCCAGAATAATCATGTAGCTCATTCCTTCTATGAATAATTTTTGATAATTCTAGTAATTCTAGATCAAGGAATCATTTCCTTTTTTAGATACTGGCTGGCATTATTATAATTCCAGATCTAATAGTAAATTTTTTTTCAGCCGCTTTCCGGAGTCCTCACCCGACTAATTCAGTCAACTCAAGCTTACCTTTTTCGTATTGAATATTCTTTTCAATGAACAATATGTCCAGCTTAAAAGTTTGTATTGGATGTTATAAATGAATTTTTGAGAAAACCCATTATAAGAGTAATTTGAAACAGTTGTAGAAATAAGAAAAAAGTAGATTGATAGTAAAGAAAATTCTAAGTTGTCTAGCCAGCATTTTAATGTTATTTATGAATAGCAGGTCCTAGTATCCATCACCCGGGAGAATCTGTAAATAAACACTCTTTGAGTATCTAACGATCGCAAATGTCAACAAACAGCACACATCTTAGTACTATACATTATTAGGCTCGTAGAAAAAAGATATTCTTTGTAGCAGAGTTAAGAAAATAGTACGAGAATTTTAACAACAGTATTCAAAGGCAATGAACGCATACGCATATCTGAAAGGAATTGCTTATCGCTAATAGGAATAAAGAATATTATAGAAGTGTTTAACTAGTAGAACATGCGTCTCCGCCTCTCCGGTGACTACACATCGAATGAATATAGATTTTTTTAAAAAATATGATGGTAGCTATCAATATATAAATGGAAATTTTCTGAACAGATGGCAATTTTACACTGTTTTGCCGATTTCCTTTTTTATAAACGCTCATATTTGTTATTCTTTTCATAAAAATTCTACCGTAAAAATTCTCTATATTCTATAATTTTACTTATTTGACTTTGAATAGAAAAAAAATTTTTGTAAATTTATTTCGTGACCATAATGCTCTGAATGGCACAAAAATACAAATGAAAAGAAAATAACACTTGAAAAAAGCCAGCGACTATACAGTATTTGTAACTAAATAAAAACAAAATAAAATCCAAATAATAGAATGGGATGGTTAGAAATGCCGTAATTTAAATTTTAGGATTTTTGACCCCCCTCCCTATGTCATAAAATTAAAACATAATTCTGGCTAGAATTATATTAATTACAAGTGTCTAAAAATGGAAGATGTGTAACATCATCATGGTATTAACCCCTTCCCCCTTAGGAAATATGGCAAGCCGAGTTGGACATAATTATCAGACATTGTGCGATAAAATATCAAGCATGGCTTGACAAAATGTCACCCCGTGTCTGACATTTTACCTGTTTATGCTTGATTTTCATCTGTCCCTTGCTTGATATTTATCTGTACGTGCTTGATATTTTTATCTGTTCATGCTTGATGTTTATCTATCACGTGCTTGATATTTTTATCTGTTCATGCTTGATGTTTATCTGTACGTGCTTGATGTTTTATCTGTA